TTCATAACACAAGACAAAATGAGAGCATATTGTGAAATGTAATGTGGCGCAGTAATCTTGATTATCTTGTTTCATGACCGTTGGAAGCCAAGAACGTAATCAAAAATTAAATTTGACAAATCCCCAAGGCCTACTATTTACTTGAGCCAAGACTAGAAACATACAACCATGTTAAACATGTTTGATTTTATCGAAACTTTGGACGAAAAAAAAAGACTTAAATCTGTTCTGATGAGTTTTATAACCACCTTACACCAAGCTGTTGATCACAGGAGTGCTCACTTACTGAGGTAAAACTGTTATGCTATTCTAGCAAAAGGTCATTTGGTGTGAGGGCACGGTGACACATTCACGATTGCAGGCGCGTGACTATTCCTTGATGAAGTTATCTTCATGTTGCATGTGAGCACTGCGAGTGTGATGACGCAGGAAGCTAGCTTGCCAGCTAGCGTCAGCTAGCCTACTAAAAGTTACAGCTAAATATAAAGTTATTGCTACTTTTTTATGATCCCTGCTAGTCTTCCAACTTACTGTCAGCCAGGCAGTATCTCTCATGTTGGCAGGTTGTGTTTTTATGGCCACTAACAAACAATATCGGGTGGTTAAACTCAGCATAAATCAGTGTCTCCTCCTCAGTGTTGTATCGTAGGCAGCTGGACTTCAGTTCTTAATTTCAAGACTGAAGAAGAGTCTTGGACAAGAGGTGAAACTTCAAGAAACTTAAGCGAGTCCAGTTGCACATGATACAGCACTTAGGATTACCATGACCTGGATGACAGAGTCTTCACCAACAGTGTCTCCTCCACACATGCGACTTTGCAGTTGTTGATGCTTCAACTTTGCCTGTTAAAGTTCACCCATGTTGAACTCACTCGATGCGGATATGCAAATTTACTTTTATTTGCCCCTTGTTTCCCGTTGGATGGAAGTGAACAGGAAGCCAGTATATGCCTGTGTTAATTTCGCTCATGTGTGACCGCACCGCAAGTCCGTCATTAGTCCCTCATTGTGTGAAGTATTACATTTTTTGGTGCATCATGTGTTTGGGATTAAACTCATTCAGGCCTCCTCTGCTTCCGTCAGGTCGCCCGTGCTGGTAGGTTTGGGACCAAAGGCCTGGCTATAACCTTCGTGTCAGACGAGACAGACGCCAAGACTCTGAACGACGTGCAGGACCGCTTTGAGGTTAACGTGGCCGAGCTGCCAGATGAGATTGAGATCTCCTCTTACAGTAAGCCTCTCCACTTCCGAATGCCTGTGATGCTTGATGTTCTTAGTGCAGTCTGTTGGAATGATTGTAATTTTTGGATTAATGAGTTTACTATGAAAGCAACACTGCTAATGGTCGATGTTCTGTTTCGCTGGCTGTTTAATCCAGTGAGATCTTGTCATCTGAAGATTGCCCCTCACATAATCAGCTGCTGTAATAAACTTTTAGAGTCCTCTTGGCAGCTCGAGGCAGCAGTTGTTGCTGCCATGTAACTCCCATCAAATGGAAACTGCCTTTACATGTTTAACCTGTTGCTGAAAAGTTGGTATGCTCAGCTGTTGCTAATCACGCTGAACCTCCACATGCTCATGTCTCTCCTCCCTCTGTCCCTTTGCAGTCGAGCAGTCCAGATGAGTCCTCCGGCCGAGCAGCAGCCTCCTCTTCATGGATCTCGTGTCTTGTATTTGGACGTAGACGTATTTCACTGTTGGTTTGAAAGCTCTGCTCGTTCCCTGTGTTCACCAAACATTTATTTTTATTGTCAGTTTTTTGGGGGCGGGGGGTATGGTTGATTTTAATTTGTCTTTTACTGTCTTTTTTTTTTTTTTTTTTTTGCTTAATGAAATTAAAACTTTTTATAAAATGCCATTTTTACTGTCGTGGTCTCTTGAGAGGCTCATCATGTCTCTACTCCATTCGCATTAATGTCAATCTCCAGCAGAGCTTCAGGGAAACGTATAGGAAAAGTAGTTCTGAGGAACATGTTCAAGTGATTTTTAGCCCTTTTTTAATGTTCGGACTAGTTTGTATAGGAAGATTTGTGTCTCTTGTTTTTCCCCCCACTGTAACAGATGGTCTTTAAAAAGTCATGTAGTGACAGTTCCGTACATTTTGGCTCACATGGCAGCTCTTTCTTTGAATTTCCAATTGAATGCCTCCAATAAATGAAGTCACCAAGTGGAGTCCTGGTGGTGAATGTGCCAGTTTTTATGTTAAGTGTCATGAGCACACTAGATAATGAAATTACTGATGCTTGGTGTGTCTGCTAGTGTCATTGTTGGAGTTTTGGAAACTATTTTACACATCACAAAATGTCATAAATGGTACTAGACTTTGTGTTTAGTGCTAATTAGCAAATGGAAGCACAGTGGCATGGTGTTGCAGATAAAATCATGGTGTCTGCAGGCCATTAAAATGTATGAAGTTCAATTTTTAAAATAAAATTATAGGCCTTTAAAGTCATTAAATAGGCTTAAATTTTAATTTGTGAGGTTAAAGTCAAACATTTGATCAAATTTCACCTATCAATCATTTACTTTCCATTAAAATTAGTCAAACTGCCTGAATGTCCACATTTCTCATGCTAAAAATTATTAAACTTAACACTGAACCCAATGCTATCTTTGTACCTGCACTTACCTGTTGACAAAATGTAGATGTGCATAGTATATGACATTTTTTTGGTATGGTAACTGTCTCAAAGTATTGCTGTTTCACGGTATGCTGGTATATGGTACTGCACAATTATTAGTTGTAACACTTAAAGGAATGATAACATGCTTTATTACTATGACAATTTTTGTTATGAAAGTGTTAACAAGTCTCCCTTTAAAAAAAAACAAATATAGGTGAGATTTTTCGACTGGTTGCATTTTTTCCCACTACTGTAGGTAAGCAAATGAACATGGTATCAATTTTTATACCTTAAAACCTGATACTGCTGCAACACCAAACCTGCTTCACTCTAATACCCATAATGCCTGCATAGATATTGACCCCTGCACAGAAGCTATGGAAGCTGTTAAGGGACAGAAGTATTTGAATTTTAACAGCCAGTGAATATTTAATACATTTTAACACCACTAATTTTTACTTTGAAAACGGTGTATCTGAATTAATTTGTTCTGAATTGACCTCTTAACCTCCTGACGCCCTGCGTCTTCATATGAGTACATCACATTTTGTGTTTGCTGCACTTTATACTTAATTGTATGGGCCCGTCCCAATACCCCCCTTAGCCCTACCCCTACATTTGTACGTTCCTGCGAGGGGTAGTGGTGTCCCAATTCCTTTTTGCGTGTAGGGGTAGGGGGCATAACGAGGGGTAGTGGGTATGAAACTAGCCCTTCGGAGCGAGGGATTTCAGAAGCTGACTTGCCAGTGAAGGATAGACGTCGCCATGGCTACCACCGAGCAAGAGACGGAGAAAAAAAGTTCATACATAGCTAACGTTACTGTCGTCAGGTTGCTTGTTGGCTAGCTAGCTAGCTCGCACTATCTGGCGTCTGTCATCTGTCCTGTTCTGCAAAATTGTCAGACTTTTCACATTACGATAACACGCCAGCTAGTATAACTATGCTGCCTCGTAATGTTAGCTGGTTAGCTAGCTAGCCAGCAGAAGTCCTCTGTCATCTGTTGTTCATCAAACGAAGCATGTGGCAAACGCGATCTGTCGGATGAATGAGACTCCATTGTAGATGCCAGTTGGAAATGTAGATGGCTCGCAGCTTCCTGTTTAAAATAGTTACTTATGCATGAACGTAACCGACGCGGTGACGTAGTGAGTGGTGTCCCAATTCCTAGGGGAAGAGTTCAACCCCTACCCCTTGTTGCTTCATTTTGAAGGCCAAGGGGTAGTGGGCAAGGGCTAGGGGTAGTGGGATTGGGCTTTAACTTAGACCTGTTGTCCTTTTTCATGGACACTTTTTTGTGCCATCTAGTGGCAGCAAAAGCACAATACACTGTCAGTACTCCATGTAAAAACAAGATGGCCGCCATCTCTGCCAAGTCAGACTGCAGCCGATCTCGAAACGAAAGTGGACAAGATCCAAAACCTGATCTTATTTTATGATTGAAACTTGTTTATTTATGATTAATAATGTTCGTAAATTGATACGGCAACAAAGTTGAATTTTAGCAACAACATAAGACACTGTTAATCAGGAAGCAATCATCTGAAGACTTTATTATCGTCTCTTTTGTTAAGACATTGGGACTTAAGTTCTTTATATTTGTCGGGTCCTACTGATCCCTACTGCTTGAAAAATTTAAAAAGCATACCAAACAAAAGTTCAGGTCTCAAGATTGGAATTTTAAAAACTAATTTGATTTTTTTTTCAGTGTTTACAAGTTCAAATCCAAAAATCAAAGTTTAATAATAAAAAATAACAAGAAAAGATTAAGACTGCTCAAATTTGACCGATCAAATTCAGATCTAAAGATTCAAGTTGGAAAAATTCAAATAGCAACATCCAGGCTATGTTATGTGTTCACACCAACCATGATGCAAAGTTTCACATTGCGTTATTCGGGCTAGTTTGATTGCTAGAAAATTTAGTGTTGACTTGCTTCATACATACATGGAATCGCTGAATCAATAAATGAACTTCCGCTGTATCATACACCCAGAGAATCTCAATGCTGATTGGCTATCCAGCGCGAATTGGTCGCTAGTTCAGATTATTCAACTCTTGCGAATAAGTAAATGACGCAAAATCGCGCTACTTGCTTCATTTATGCACTGTGCCACCTGCCGGGAATTTGTTTAATCTCATCTTTACATACACTTCACTTGCACAAGTTATTTAATTCGCACCCGGTGTGAACACAACATAAAACAGGATAGCAAACTACCTCAACAATGTGACCAAACACAAGTATGATGCTGAATATATTAAACTGCGTGGACCTTGAACTAATGAGAAATCTGGACTCCTTGGCTGCACCAGAGGGAGGCCACTGATCTAACACAATGGGACAGTTATGACTTTGGTAAATGCTCGACACAGAGTGAAGTGAAAATGTCTTTATTGAAAATGCGAAATGATGAACTCACTCCAACTCTTACAATCCAACCAGTTTCCAACAGAAGTCGTTGTGTGGAACATGTGAACATTTATTTCAATATGTAATCTTTCAAAGCATGACTTTATTATTACAGATGGTATTAATGTACACTAGAAGACATACAATCATCATGCTTTCAACTTGGCACTTAACGCTCATAAAGGATCTGAACCCTGCTCTGTTCAGTGCTAAACTATACGTGGACTACTTCAGTATAACTCGGTAAACGGATTGGCCCTTATACAGCAGATAGAACTACAAAGAAAGGTAACAATGCATCTGTACATAGCTGCTCTATAGTGTCCTTTAACAAAACTACACATACAGTACCAAAACCACAGCATCTACATAGGCAAATAGCATCTTGTTAATCACCTGTAAAGTTCAAAGGTTGTCAGGCTTCGAGTTTTTTACCTACGGAAGCCTACTGTAGCCGAAAGATGGTAGAAAATGCAAATATTTTCCAGTTTCACATAAAAACTGACATCATGTCTAAGCCACTATTTTATGGCATGAAAGAAAACACATCTTTGAAATGTTAAAATGGTGATTTAAATAATTTCACCCACTTAAAAATGTGTAAAAATCAGTTAGAAATGACCTCTCAGTCCCTCTGTGTCACCTTTGAGATAAAAGGTCATGAACCAAGGCTGTCTTAAGGTGCGTGGACTTGAACCCGTGTCCCAGTCGAGTGAGACGCTCAAGTTCTTCAGTCATAGTAAAGGATTTTGGCTACAACAGTTACAGAATAATACAAAAGTCCCCTCTTTCAAAATGTCCTCAGATACAGGTTCTCATTGGCCTCTGCAGGGCCGTGTCGCTCCTCTCCGCCTCTGACAGTGACGTCAACTGACAACGCAGCCTTCATTTCTCAGAAACAGTCACCACTTAAACACGAGGAAGCATGAGTTATTGTTTTGTGTCAGTGAGCCTGCATGCTGCTCGATTACAGGCCAGATTTGGGCACCAGAGCGGTTCCACCCGCCAGTCACAAATTACATGTTTACCCCAGCACACGCAGTTTTCAATTTTTATTTTTACAGCAAAACCAGAGAGTGGCTGATTTGCTCTCGCCGCCCCTCCGAGTCAGGATTGTAATTTGCGCAGAATTAGGCGGTCGACGTCTCGGCGCCAGAATCCCAGGCTTGTTCTTCTGGTGCTTGCTAAATATCTCAGTCTCTTGTGGAGGCGAGGCAGGGGATGAGTCCAGCTGTGTAAACAACCTTTGACATATTCCCCCGCTAATGCGCACAAAGCCTCGACCGGTCAGGTTCAACTCTTTTTCTAGTATGCAACACCTCTTCTCCTGTAGCCTTCATCATCCATCATTAGATACGGCTCTCTGACTGCTGTAACCTCCAGGGTCGAGCCCTGGATCTGTGGGAGTCCTTCTCTCCTTCTCGTGGCTGACAGCTCTCAGCTGTTTTGTCCCCGTTCAGCCATGCTGAAGCTCCAAACATAGCAGCTCCGCCTTCCCTGGTGGCAGGCCGCTGTGTCATCATGTCTGTCTCAACAATAAATACCAGTGAATAAATACCATAAAAAGACACAAGCCACACTCCTGCGAGAACATCTGAGATGCTCCTCCATCTTCTGCCATCACGATCCCAGTCTTTGCTGTCAAGTCTTCTCCGTGAGTCTTCATTTGGTTTATCAATACTAATTATCGGAGTGCACCAACAGGTTTCCTGTTTGGCTCCGAAGCAACGTCATACCAGCTTTCTATTGACTAGTCTGACCTGTTGCTCAGTGACTGTGATGCAGCTCCACACCACCTACAAAAGAAACACCAGCACGTCGGCTTTTGATCCAGCGTCCCCGACCAAAGTCTCAGAGTTCAGGGGACACTTGGTGCCTGGCAGCAACATGGCGGCCGGTTGCATCTATAAAGATTTCATCACAGTCTGTCGAAGTCTGGCGACACCAGACACAACCTCTTATCTACACTACAGCAGGGGCTGCTCACTTTGCTCTGTCCAAGGTGGAGATGCGCCGGTCTGATTCCTTCTTCTCGCCCCATTCCTCCCCAAATAATCTTTCAGAAAAGACGTGTGCACCTCTCTAACGTCTACTCATAGATACACTAAGGACAGCTATTCTATAACGGGGGTCACTATGGGGGAGTTAATGTCTTAGTTTATGGGGGAATGTAGGTTGGGGGCGGGGGTTGATACCACTAGTCGATGAATTTGTGCGTGTCTCCGTAGAGCCATCGCTGAGGAGGCATGGCGGCCTCGTTGAGGTGGTTGCACTCGTCGCTGCACTTACAGGACTGGATGAACATCACAGACCTGTTGAAGCGCTCGCCATCAGGGCAGGCGAAGGTCACGCTGGCAGTGCGTGTGCGACGGGGTGAGCAGCAACGGCCGTCCCTGCACACGCCGCAGTAGTTGGGCCTGTAGAGACGTGTGCTCCTGCAGCCGGCGTAGGACAGGCGGTGTGGTTCAGGGGCCTTATGGGTACGAGAGCACTTCCTTCCTTTCTGGGGACGGAGAGAGAAGAGAGAGTGAATTCAGTCTTTCAGGAGGTTAACAAGCGTCTAAAGCCATGCTAACGACTCTGTGATGCTAAAAGGCTAACATGAATAGTAGGATTCATCCTCTGAGGACCATGAGAGCATTTCCAAGTTTTCAAGTTTCAAGGCAACCAATGTTGCCCAACAAAGTTTACTATGTTTTTGGTCAAAATTGAGTGTTGACTGAAATTAAACCTTTGGATATCTGTTCTATCATGTGAGAAAAATTCATTCATTTTCCATAACCTGTTAGGAGTCGCGTGTGTGCTGGAGCCTATCCCAGCTCACATTGGGTGAGAGGCAGGGTTCACCCTGGACAGGTCACCAGACTATCACAGGGCTGACACATAGAGACAGACAACCATTCACACTCACATTCACAGTCTTTGGACTGTGGGAGGAAGCCAGAGCACCCACGCTGACACAGAAAGAGCTAACAAACTCCACACAGATGGGTTCCAGGAACCTTTGTGTTGTGAGATGACAATGCTAACCGCTGCACAACCGTGCTGCCACCGCTGTGAGTGTATCACAACGCATATTGAACATGAGAATAAAGATAATACCAACGACAAAATAATTTCTACCTGACCATGGCTTGATCATTGATGATGAAGATTATAATTAATGAAGATTATAATAAAGGTTTTTAGGTTTTAGGTCAAACCTGATGAAGTAAACATTACAACAAACTTATACTTGAGGGTTGCTAAAAAAAATTCTGTTACTACTTTTAATACAGATGTCTGTAAACTCACAAGTGACTAATGGGAACAACAATGTTTGAAATTGGTTCACTACTGAGTGATCCAGCATCAGCAAAAAAAGCTGCAATGTAACCACTTGGGGCATGTTTGCACCGCCAATTTACGTCCGCCAGAGGGGCTTGTTTTTGCCACTGACAGGCTCAGATTTTTATTGTGTCTTACAACATTATGCAAAGGATCCCTACAGAGATAGACCTTTTAGTTAAAGAGTAAGATTCTTTTTGTTTAACCAGAAACTGCCCCAAAATCGCCATCCCCACACCCGCCAGACTCCATTTAAATAAACAGTAATTTTAGCCTGTATAGAGCCAGCATATGGTCACATCTAATTGGGTGGATTAAGGGTTTATTTCAACCAAACCAGAGTTGCTGATTGCTGGAATCATGGAAAGACGAATCAAGACAGTATTTGCACATTTTATTTTTTTTCTGTTGACTCTGAATGAAGCGTGTTTTACGATGATAAAATTACTACTTATTTAAATGGAATCTGGTGGGTTTGATCATGGCGCTTTCCGGCCTGTTTTTGGTTACACAAAAAGGATCTTATGCTTTAACAAAAAGGTCTATCTCTGTAAGGATCCTTTCAACAATGTTGTCAGAGACTTAAAATGACAGTCTGAGCCTGTCAGTGGCAAAAACACGCACTTTTATTGTTCGTATACTGACTGAACAAACAGCCTGGCTGCTGCTCTTGCCTAACAATAGACTACTAAATTTGTTCCCATTGGTTATTTAGACACAAAAACATGGGAAAATAAAGTCCAGGTTGAAAAGTACCCCTTAACTCTGGATTTTTATGTTTATTTGACATGCAGAAAGCAGCACAGCAACTCTTGAGCATAGTGGGGAATGCTCTGTTTTCCCCCTTGGGGTAAAAGGATGTGACGTCTTGTGGGCGTTCCCATCAATACTGACTTTATCTAAGGCTAATATGAATAGTGGGATTCATCTTTTGAGACTATGAGTATTATTTACAAAATTTCAAGGCAACCCATAGTTCAAGTTAAGCTGCAGGCATGGCTAATAATCTTTTCTTTCTGTGATGTGCCGCGTTCTGTAGAGCAGGTTGAACACTGCTTCATAGAGTCACATTGTTAGAATACCACACAGCAAAATGTAATAACTCATCATTTGAGCCGTGAGCCATGAAAAACAAAGTTAATGCAGTTAAGTACAGAGACGGGGGAAAAACAAAATAAAGGTCAGAGCAACCGCTGAGTGCCAGCGAGGGGAGCATGCCAGCAATAGTTAAGGATTGACACTGATACACATTAACACCCACAGCAACTCTGCAAACACTGGAAGAGCAGAGAGAAACAGGTGCATAACAACCCATCAGCCTCATGAGAGGCTCATGGCGAGAGGCAGAATGTTTCTGAGGGTGTTGCTGCGTATGAAATGTGAGAGAGCAGCAGAGTGGGCGAATCAAGTGCTCTTTAAATCACACAGCAGAGAGCCACTGAGTGCAGCTGACTGCCACAGTGTCGCGGGGTCAGTGTGGGAGAGCTGCAAACCCCCGCAGACGAGTGAGGGGGGATTTTATCCCTTTGTCACATCTCTGAAAAGTTCTGGGAGAGCTGCAGTGTTATTTAAAATGAAAACTTAGAAACAAGCTGATAACAATGTTGGTGATGTATTGTGTTTTTAAAAAGATCACAGAAAAGAACTACTTTAAGCAGAGCCTGCCGAAAGTTACCAGTCTCCGAACACATCAGCTATCAGTCTGACAATGATTGTCTACAGTCCGATTAGCAAGTCGAAACAAGACAACGGAATTGGAGTTGAGAGACAATATCTATAATAGATATCTGATTATAAATGCAGATAAACTTTAAAAAGCTGTTAGCTGATGAGTAGCCAAAGAGTAGTTCCGCGTGACCAGCCTCCCTTACTTCGGAATGGGAGTCTGGGGACATTCATCTTTCATTTTGTAATAGAAATGGGCGGAGATATCCAGACCATGTGACGGCGTTGCCATAGGTACGGCACGTTTGTTACATGTAACAGAGACGTTGCAGCTCTGCAATATATCTGAATCAAATGAAATCATATCCATTTTAATCTCTTATTGCGATGCACTGAACACTTCCTTTTCTGTTGTACTACGGACAACAATTCGGGGAACAGCAATTCCAGTGTAGGGGGGTGTAAGGCAAAGCTAACCAGCCGTTGGTCAAGGAAGTGCGGAAGTACACGGATTTGGATCCAATCACATCACTGCCGCTGGGAGCCAGCGCTAGTTCTATTACAACTTTCCTATGGGAATGTCAACAGACAACAGAGTCAGCTAGTGTGCTGACGTCATCGGCGTCTGTGTAAGAGACTAGCCAAAGAGTTGCTGTGTCGTTGGTTGCACCAGCAATAAATTTGAAAACACGTATCTCTTATTTGTTTCCCTTCCATGTTGTAAAACAGATGGAAGATAGCAGCGTGGGCTTTGGCTCCAAGCTATAGACCTGAGCAGTAAAATTTCACCCCCAACTCCATGTCCCCTTTTGGACAAAAGCAACGCACCGTCACATAAAGAGAGAAACGGGAAAATGCTAAATGATGCTGGTGACAGTTGATACCGATAGATATCTAACGTTAGCTTGAGTAGGAAGGTGCTGCAGCACAGTCATACTGTGGCAGCATCAGACAGCCGTCTCCGACTAAATCTCAACCTAGATCAAACGGTTGTTGACAAACAACACTTATCCTACTGATACCTGGTGATTCAATCAGATATAGTGGCCACTGTGTTGGGTCATTGATCCACTTGGACGGGGGAGGACTAAAGGGACTTAATGATCAACTTTCATTTATGGTATTTAGGAATGGTGAATGCTCAGGTTCAGGCAAGGTCACAAAACAATTATTAGACGTGTTTTTATAATAGGATCTTCGGCGTTCTATCCCCTTAACATTTTGTGAGGTACCCATATGTGCTGGTCTGGTGTATACGGACTGTTTATCTGCATGCAGCCAAAGCTTGCTCAAACGCAATTGTTCAGTAGTACATGGACAACAATCAGAACACTTCTGATACCAAAATCTGGTCTTGTTGTCTGGAGATTCTGCATCTATGTGCAGACTTCTGTTTATAGATTAGGAAGCTACCACCATCAGCCAAGAACCCCCTGTAAAATGTCGAAATTATATCTCTACACTTCAGCCTCAATTGTCGCCTCACAGCAAGAGGGTCCCTGGTTCCTAGAGTCTGCATGTTCTCCCTGTGTCAGCGTGGGTTTCCTCCAGGTGCTCCAGCTTCCTCCCACAGTCCAAAGACATGCAGGTTAATTGGTGACTCTAAATTGTCCGTAGGTGTGAATGTGAGTGTGAATGGTTGTCTGTCTCTATGTGTCAGCCCTGTGATAGTCTGGTGACCTGTCCAGGGTGTACCCTGCCTCTCACCCAGTGTCAGCTGGGATAGTCTCCAGCCCCCTTGCAACCCTGAACAGGATGATCGGTTACAGAAAATGAGTCAGTGATTGAAAGGATACAACATGTTAAGACGTGTTAATTACTGAGATTTAGAGTGATGGTAGACAGAGCCAGGGTAGCCGTTTCCCTCTATGTGCAGTCTTTGTGCTAAGCTAACTTCCTACTGGCTTCATATTTACCGTACAGACATGAGAGCTAACTCTGTGCTAGATAGCAACCAAATGCTTTAGTTGTCATTTACAGAGGAACTACCAAGAACTGAGCTCGAAGCTGCAGAGAGGAAACTTGGTCTAAATCTGCTCTGTCGTCATCCTGCTAAGGATGTTTCCCACACAGCAACAGAACTGTGAATAGACCAAATGGACCAGAAAGGGCTCAGCTACAGATGGATTCAAGGTGGGTGGGGTCTGTACACATGCCACGGTATTAATACCAATCTGTCCCCTGGAGAGCAAACCTTTCCTGAATCTATTTAGCCCGGTGGCTGCTCTGCATGTTTGTGGTCTGTCAGAGGAAGAGCTGCATTCTGTCACTTCATGAGAGTCTTAAAATCACCACACACTCCTCACCTTGACTGGGATGGACATGGAGCTACAGGGCCGGATGTTGCACAGACGCGTCTCCTTGATGAGCTTACACTGGGCGTTGTCGTTGGTAACACGAGAGGAGACGCCCATCCCGCAGCTCCGAGAACACTGGGACCAGGAAGTAGTCTGAACCACGCACTGATCTCCCACCTGCCTCCAGGCTAGGAGAGATGATACAGAGGACGTGTGAGATGACAATGCAGAGTTTGGCGAGTCAGAGACAGAGAAGCAAGATCAGCAAAGTGACGCTGGGGTAAAAAGGGCCGGTGGGAGAGAGACGGAGAAGGAGAGGTCCAGAGATGCAAAGCACACTGGTCTCATTCAGTGAACAGGCAACACTGACGCATAGAGAAGGTGATTACAGAGAGGGGAAAGCTGGGTGACAGAGGTATGTGCTGTGTGAGAGCAGTGTGTGAGAGCACCTCTGGTGTGCAAGGAGCCAGTGGAAAACAAGCCTCACATAAATGCTGACACACACACACATAGATGCAGAGGAAAAGGCTCACAGTGAGGCCGTTTGTGCGTCAGGGGGCTAAAATGACTAAAACATAAACATGATGCTTTACTGCGTAGAGGAAACAGACGGCACTCTGAGGCGACACGGCGGCACCCTCTCTTACCCGCCAGGTGCTTGTTTCCACGTGGCTTGTCCCACTTGCGCCCCACCTCCACCAGCTCGTTGCCCAGGGTGTTCTTCTCCTTCTTGGGTTTGTAGGGGTACAGCTTCCGGTAAGGCTTCGGGTAAGGCTTCGGGAAGGGGTAGGCTGGGTAGGGGATGAAGGGGTAAGGCGGGTAAGCTGGAGGTTGGGGTCGACGGTGCACCGGGGGCACGACGGTGGTTCCCTTGTGGCAGTCGATGGTGAGGCAGCACTGGCCTGGTACTTTGACCAGCTGTGGAGAGGGACAGGAAGGGGACGCCAGGGGCACGTGGCTGGGGCAGAGGGGCACGCAGCCCACCGCTCCGTCGATGCAGGTGCACTGGTGTTTGCAACCAGCTCGGAAATTCTCGCCATTTTGATAAATGCGGCCGTTGTATTCGCAGGAGCGGCCCTCTGCCTTTGCTGAGGGAAAGGAAACAGACAGGTCGGTTAAAATACTTTGAAACACAAACGTGTTCAGATAGCTATGGAGGCAAATAAGAGACATAACTATCTGAATTTTAACAGCTATTGAATACTTAATATCAAAACACCACTAAATTCATAGCAGTGAATTATTTTAATATGTATCTACATCTGTTTGTTCTGTATTTACCTGTATATTAAATATTAAAATATTTCAAAAGCTAAATTAGATTTTTTTTTAATTTTTTAAATTTCAAAAAATTCATCTAGGTTACTCAAATTCAATTGGTCAAATTCAGATCTTAAAATTCAAGTAGAAAATTTAGATAAAACAGTCAAATGCAATTGGTCAAAATATTCAGGCTCATTTTATGGAAGCAAATAAGAGACAAAAGTATTTTTAACATTTTTAACAGACACTACATTTATTTGTGTTGAATTTACCTCTTTGAAATTTAAATATATAGTGTTTCTTGATTTGCAATTTCAGAAGCTTATTTGGAATATTTTTTGTCAGTATTTACAGATTCAGAATTTTTAAAAAAAAAAAAAAAAGATCCAGGTTACTTAAATCTAATTGGTCAAATTCAGATCTTAAAATTCAAGTAGAAAATTTAAAAATTTAGATAGAACAGTCAAATGCGATTGGTCAAAATATTCAGGCTCATTTTATGGAAGCAAATAATGGACAAAAGTATTTGAATTTTAACAGGCACTAAATGTATTTGTTGTATTTGGATCTGAATTTGTGTCAACTGTTAAAAAAATTCAGCTTTTGAAATTGCAAATACAAAAAAAATTATATTTTAATTTCCAAGAGATTAATTCAGAACAAATAAAATATTTCAATGCTATGAATT